GGAAGGTTTATGAATCATCAAAATTTCAAATATTTGTCTCCATCAAAATTCGATCGTCATTAAATTTTTAAAAATTTTGAAAATCCGCGAAATTTTTTGTGAAAATCCGCGAATTATTTTTGTTTTGTTTTACGAGGTACACAAAGAGAACATGTTCACAATTAATTTAGAAGCTGGGCGCGAAGCGCCCTCTAAGGCCAGAAAGAAGGGCGCGAAGCGCCTTGAATTTCTAGTTATAATAAAAAATTGTAGAGATTCAGAATAAAGAATGCTTTTATCAAAAATAAAGAATGCTTTAATTATGTAATCCTTATATCTACCTGATGGCATATACCCTTAATATTTTATATAAACTCTGCTAGATAAAAAAGTAAAAATTGGAAATGTTAAAGGTTTATACTACAGGAGTATCCACAAAGGATGAGACTTCAGAGACGATTGTTCGGAACTTATTTGATATTTTATCTTACATTCCAGCTTCCCCTCGGCTGTAAACTTTTTTTTTTTGGCATATCTTTTAGTAGGTTATTAATAGAATATTTAATATTTGATATATCGCCAAATCAAATCATCAATCAGATTTTTATATTTAAAGAGCTTCAGATCGGCATTAAAGTCTCTTCCTTAGTGGGTAACCCTGTAGCAGGTTGATAAGATTATATAATTAGAATAGTCAGGGGCGTAGTGGGAGGGGGGCGGTAGCCATGTGCACCTTCTAGGCCTCCTTAGAGCCAGAGGCAGGCTCTAATATATTAAACTTATATATATATTCAGATTTTTTCTTTTCTTATCAATTGACATTGTCACAATTTGTCCATTTTATGATAATTTCTCAAATTCTTTCTTATACCTTAATCTTATTCAAGATATTTTTTTCTCGGGTTTCATTTAAAATCCATTTCAGTCTCATGTTTGATGCAGAGTTTTATTAATCTTTAAATAATACTGTCTCTAGTGTAATATATTCATAATATGATTGAGATTGACATAATTCATGATATATGATATATTCAAAACAATTAAATATTAAAAAAAAAGTTTTTTGCTCTTTACTACTATTATATAATGGTATGATTGATAATTACGGTCAGATGACTAATAATCAGGTAGATTAATATAGATTTTAAGCTTCAATTTTTTTTCTAAATACGGTTTTTTAGGGGGGTTCTTTAAGGGCAGGTAGACTTGGCTCTACCAGGTCCAATTCTTCTCTCTCCCATGGTGACCGGGCCCGGTCTTACGTACACTTTACACCGGGGTAGCGAGGCTGTCCTCTAAACCTTCTCCCGGGGATACTTGGCCCGTCCTCTCAACCAAACCAGTCACATCTTCTAGATCAACTAGACAACTAGATAATATCAACCATATCAACCTAGTGTACAGATATCAACCAGGAGTTAAAGAAAAGTCAACCATATCAACCCTACTTAAAGATATCAACCAGGGTTAAGCAAAATCAACCATATCAATCAATGTTTACAAGAAGAAACATATATTCCAAGTGTTAAGATGTATCAACATATCAAAAACAACAAATAAATAACTGTGAACAAAAGTTAAAATGTGCAATTAGGAAATGCTTTGATATCATGATCAATTCTAATATGCTTGATGTCAAACATCTCGTATATAAAATACATTTAATTCATCCCATTGTGTACTTAAATAAAAAACAATATCTTATTATATTTATCCGTTTCATAATTTTGTTACCTTTTCACATTAATTTTTAGAATTTGTTGTTTATGTTCTTATAATTCTTAAAGGAATTGAGTCTTTGTAACAAACTCTGATTTTCTAATACCTATAATTTTTCCACCTGATGGTGTAAACCTTTGATATTTCAAACTTAGATTTTTTTCATCCAACAGACTTCATAGTTTGAAATATCTAAGGTCTACGGCATTGGATTACAAAGATATAGAGATAGAAAATCAGAGTTTGTGACAAAGACTCCTTTACAAAATTCGTACAGTTAAGTCTATATTTGGTCATTAAAAATTTTCTATATAAAAAAATGTTATCTTTAAGTAAATCCAAATTTTCCGAGTGGTTACCACTTAGAGACCCATTTACAAGCCAAAATGATGGGAATTTGAAGATCCGCTGTACAATTCTGAATTTGAATCATCAAAAATAAAAAAAATTAAAGGAGTGATGATTTTAAATGGCGTCATGCTTCTATTGTATCTTCCAGAAAATTGTGCAGCTTTTAGTTAAGTGGTTAATATTGTAGATTTTGGAAAAATATTAGTATATCTTTGATAACTTTTTCGATTTTTAAAAAATTATCTTTGTTGAAAAGAATGGCTTTTTTCAAGTGTCTCCTTTTCAACCTGGAATCACAGGTTTATGATCGATATGGTGATGTTGATGTTTTTGACCATATAAGGAGAAATAATAACTACAATAGTTTTTGGATAAAAATTAGATACATTTTCTGTTGAAACAATAACCGGAGGTGTTTAAGCTGCACCTTTTACATGAATTTATAAAGTTTTTCTTAGAAAACTTAAAAATAGTTTTTACAAAGTACATTATTTTATTTTTAACAATGATTAAGCGCATTATCATAAATGTATGATGATTTTAGAGTTTATCATGCTTTCTTAACTTCCCTTATTGTATTTATTTTTATATAATGAATCCCCAGGGAGAATATGAGAAGGAACATATTCACTATTCAAGCACTATTTTCCTTTCCCACCATTACAATATACATATAGTGCATACAAGGGGAGCTAAGAAAGTATGGACATTTTTTGGAAAATTCGATTTCAGCAGGATAAGAAGTGGCACCCCCTAAAGGAAAATTAATTTTTTTCTCATTCAATTTTGACCATGAAAGTTCTAAGGGAATCCATATCTGTGATTGAAAACAGCAACGAAAACATGTTTTCACAACATACATTTCGAGTTAAAAAATTAGGTCCACTTTTAAAAAGTCGAAAAAATTATTTAAGACGCTATACCTCATGTGAGATTTGTATGGCTTTTCATTTTCAAATCAATGTTTTAAGACAGTTTTTTTGATAATTTGGACTATTTTGGAGAAACAAATTCAACCTGATTCTCATCTGTTATAACACAAAAAATGTATATTTATATCTATAGAAACTAATTATGATTATTAGTTAGGTAAACTTAATACATCTTCTCTTATTGGTCCAGGATGCATTATTTTTAAACACTTATTTGAAATTTATAGAGTTTATAGAGTTGATTTTCAGAACTGATAAGCATCAAATTTTAACATTGAAATTGGGTGAAAACTTTCAAAGAAATATTATAAAGAAAGTGAGCTTCTAAGTAGAAAAGATTTATAAGCCTAAGAGAGGCATGAATATATTGCAATATACTCAATATTCCTAAACAGAAAATCAGGGATAGATACTTTCCCAATATTTTATATATTTCTCTGCATCTAATTAGGAGGAAAAAATTGAATTTATGTTCTAAAAAAAGTAATATCCGAAGCGGCAAATCCTTGAGACACCCCCCCCCCCCTTATTATTTTTGAAAATCATAACCCTCCCCCCAGGATAAACATACCCCTCCCCCAGGATAAACATATACTCTTGTAGAAAATGCAATCCCTTCCCTCTGAAATATTGTTGCGAAGAATAGAGAAGAAAATTATATTTATATTTCAATTTGGCCACTTTTCAATCTTTAGCTTTGATGTTGGCATTTTATTGAGCTTTTCAATCTCCACTAGACACCTTTATAACTTAAAAACTTCCTTAAGGAAAATATATATATTGTTAGTTTTTCATTTCACAAACATCAACTTAAAGGGGCTGTCAGCATATTTTCAAGTTGACCTCAATTTTCAAATGTATTTCTATCTGAAATTTTTTTATGAAATTGACTTGCGAGATTATTCAGTAAAGACAAGGAAGATAATTTATATTATTCAAGATAGTTTCCTTTTGTTGTAAAGATAAAGGGACTGTAAGTATAATTTCCATGTTGTTAAGATAAAGGGACTGTAAGTGTAATTTCAAGATATATTCCATGTTGTTAAGATAAGATATCTTCCTTGTTGTTAAGATAAAGGGACTGTAAGTGTAAGTTCAAGATATCTTCCTTGTTGTTAAGATAAAGGGACTGTAAGTGTAATTTCAAGATATCTTCCTTGTTGTTAAGATAAAGGGACTGTAAGCATAATTTCAAGATATCTTCCTTGTTGTTAAGATAAAGGGACTGTCAGCATAACTTCAAGATATCTTCCTTGTTGTTAAGATAAAGGGACTGTAAGCATAATTTCAAGATATCTTCCTTGTTGTTAAGATAAATGGACTGTAAGTGTAAATTCAAGATATCTTCCTTGTTGTTAAGATAAAGGGACTGTAAATGTGATTTTAACTGACCCTCCATTCAAATATGGCAATTCCTGATTTACGACATGCAGCTCCCTTGAAACCTGATCAATAATGTAGAAGATATTATCGTTTTTCTAGGTTAAAAAGTATTTCATATTTTATATTTTCTAGGTTAAAAAGTATTTCATATTTTATATTTTTCTTCATTTTTTCCTCGAGAAGAAATGTACAGATCATTTTTGTAGAGAAACCCCAATTGAAAAAATAATCGGTTTTTAAAATTTAAAAAATTGATATCTTATTCAAAGGAATGGAGTTTTTGTCACAAACTCTGATTTTCTAATTTCAATATCGCTGCAACCCAACGTTGTTGACTTTTGAAATTTCAAACTATGAATGCTGGTAAATGAAATATTGTAAGTTTGAAATATCACAGGTTTATATCACCAGGTTGCAAAGATATTGGGTTTACAAAAATTAAACTTGTGGCAAAGTCTCAATTCCTTTGATAAGACAAAGGTTTTAAAGGTACCATTTTAAATACGACATTGTCATCTAAAATGGACGGTCCTTGGAATTACAGTCCCTTCAATCCTACATATTTCTCATCTTATCTATTTTAATATAAATAATACAATGATTTATAAATGATAACTGGCATTGACGAGATAGATTTGGATACAAACTGGTGAAATGACCTGTGAAAAAAGATTCTACATTATTAAAAAAGCCTCGAAAAATCAACCATAAGCCAACCATATCAAAATCTACAAGACATCCAAGTGAATGAATTTTTTCAAAGACAAACTTTGTGGAAAGAAGAAACATTCTGCTAGTTCTTCTAGTGACTCTGACACAGGATTTCAATATCTAGCTGATGGATCATTCCACAGATCTTCGCCGCGGAAAGTAAATGGAGTGAAAAGTTCGAATTCTTTAAGTTCTTTCTCATCCTTCCAGCCCCAACATGGAGGTAAACACATTCAGAAAATGCAAAACTAAACCTTCAGATATTTTCATTTCTAACCTTAGGACCCAAATTGTTAAAATACAGTCGTCGTCGTATATATCAATACAATGAAGACGACTTTCCATTAAATTTTTTGATTTCTATCAAGCTTTCAAGCAACATGGATAGTGAATACACATTAACAGGTAATCACAGAGAAGTTGTCAATTCCATTTTCTCTTTGATTAATTAAACACAATACACATGTAATTTGAAAAAAGGTTGTTAAAAATCAAAACCTAATTTGAAAAGTCGTCTTCTTTGTATTAACATAAATGCCTTGTACTGTATTAAAACTTAATTTGAAAAGTCGTCTTCTTTGTATTAACATAAATGCCTTGTGCTGTATTAAAACTTAATTTGAAAAGTCGTCTTCTTTGTATTAACATAAATGCCTTGTACTGTATTAAAACTTAATTTGAAAGGTCGTCTTCTTTGTATTAACATAAATGCCTTGTACTGTATCAAAACTTAGTCGTCTTCTTTGTATTAACATAAATGCCTTGTACTGTATTAAAAAATACCTGAAAAGGTAACTGCACAACCTTTCAATATTATTTTTATTTTAAATCTAAAATCTAAATAAATGTTTTCATCGGAAAATAATTTGATATTGTTAATGTGGCTCAGGTGAGATGCAAAGATCTACAACATCAGAATCCTTTCAATCTATGTCCAGAGATGACAGTAGGACTCCAGATACCCTCAACACTAGGGATACAACACAGAAATATACGTCACACTTATCATAACATACCACTCTCAACTAAAATTTTCATTCCTAAATCAGCATTATGAAAATACGCTCGAAACTAAATTTAGCATTTTAAAAATGTTCATGGCAAAAAAAAATAATTATTAGCGAATTTGAAAGGTGAAACCATGCATGTCAAACTAAAAGTAAATTGCACGGTTAAAATCATAAATATTTAATAATAATTCCTCTTGTAAAAGAACTCTTGAGAAGAAAAAGAATGCAGTATGTAACCGGATACGCTCGGTTTTGTCATGCTCATGCGATCGTAAACCAATTTAGAGGAGCTACGAGGTCACAAAGTCGCTCCGGTAGTATCTCATAGATTTGACCTTTTCCTTCTTTCTAATTGAGTTGGGATAGCTCCCTTCGAGATATAGATCTGCCAACATTTATACGATTAGTATTATTCTCGTTTAGTAAACACCTTAAATACATCAAATTAATCAGTAAATTATGTTTGTGATTATAAAGCTAAAAACAAGACGTTATATTAATATTGTGTCTAGTACTAGACATTCTTTTCGATCCACAAGTCTTCCACGACAATCCTCCTTTTCTAATTGCAAAAGGCATCGTAGACTATTCAATTTCAGTTCAAAGTTTAAATTTAATCTTTTTAAAGAAAAGTTGGAATAAATTGTTTGTTTTTTTGTTTAAAAGTTAAAATGATTCATCTAATTTCAGTTATATTGGTTTAGTTCTTGAAAACCTTGCCTTATTTTTCAATTACAATGGAATTAGGTCTTTGTCAGAAACGTGAATTTTCAATCCCTATATCTTTGCAACCTTATGGTGTAAACCTTTGATATTTCAAAGTTAGATTATTTGATGAAACATAATTCATAGTTGGAAATATTCAAGGTCTACTTCATCGGATTGAAAAGATATAGAGATTAGTAAATTTTCCAATTCGTATATTTTTGCAACCAGATGGTGTAAACCTTAGATATTACAAACTTAGATTATTCTTTCTAACAGAATAAATAGTTTGAAATATCTAAGGTCTCCGACATTGGGCTGCAATGATATAGTTATTAGAAAATTAGTGTTTGTTGCAAAGACTCAATTCCTTTGTTTTCTCTTTACTACTTCTCTTGAGGGTTTAAAGGAACTGTTCGCGCAACTTGGGGTTTCTAGGTACTGCACTGCATTTCAAGATCTGAAAATAAACATTATCAGACCAAGGTTTAAAGGGTATATCGTTCTAAATCTAATTTGTTACACCATGAATAGGAACACTTCAAATAGTACGTTTGCAGTTCCTTTAATGAGTCTATTTCCAAACTTATTAGTTAAATAGTCTGTATAATCAGGTCTGTAACAATGCCCAGCTTTCCTACGAATAATGATGGTGGTGTTAACCCTCTCAATAACAAGACAAATAATGATGGAACAGCGAGGAAAACAATACAATTCAGAAATCAAAATGGACACAACGCAAACACATTCTCTTCAGTCAATGCCAACCTCAATAGACAAACAAAAAGTGATAATCGGATGTCGTTGCCCGGCTCTTTTTCAAACACATTCAATGTGCCTCTGAACAAGGGAATAGAATTATCAAGCTGGCTTCAAAACTTATCAGAATCTGCAGGAAGATTTATAATTAACTTACTGATTTTCTAATTTTATATTTTCAAAATCATCTCCAAATTATTGAATCATTTCATTATATTGCGGTGTATGAGATAGACATAATTTCGGCTAAAAATCGAATTCACAATACATAATTTAAAGTTAGAGCTACAGTCTTACCATTTCTGGTTGTTTAATTGGCTGACCCTTCAAAGTTGTATACATTCATTTTTATCTTAATTAACAGATATATAATTGCATTTCATAATTCAAAGCACGTAATTTTTAAGAAAAAAATTAAAAAAGGTTGGTTTAGATCGGTTAGGAGAAACTCCCATAAAAGGCCGGAACAATACCAATCCGGAAATTCTACGGATATCTCGGAGTAAACTTAGAGATGAGATGCAATCTAGCAACCCATCAGATAACAAAAGAAAAAGAAATTCATCTCGAGAAAACTCCCTTGAATCTCTACTGGAGGCAGGAATTCTTATGGAATAAAATAATAATGAAATAATTTCATGAGTCAGGTTTTCCAAGAAGCCACCTGCTCGGAGGACTTGGCACATTTGTACTTTTATAAATATACGTTACTACAGAATGAAAGAGTTTTGGCTTTTAATTCCAAAAACTTCATTCAAATATGGTTAGCCATATGAAATCACAAAATTGTTCGGTTTTTTTTCATTAACCAGAAACATTTATCGTTTATTTATAATTTGAAGTCAGTGGAATGTTTCCTAGTCCTACCAACCCTCCATTCCCCTATACCCCCCGTAACCCCCAACTATTTTGAATTCATCCTTAGAAGTAAATTTGCTTGATTGATTTTTAAAAAGTAGAGAAACAACAAATAGTTGTATTATTTTAGAATATACCCTACAGGATGAAATGGAACATTTAAATATTTTGTTTTGAAACAAGCTTTTATACCCTAGAGAATTCTATATCTCAGACATGGAATAAAAAGCATTATTTTGCAAGGAATAGAGAAACTTCATAATTTTGTCAATTTGGCATTATAATATCTAAGGATTATAAACAAATAAACTTATTTCTTAATTTCATTGGATTAAAGGAGGAAGATCAAAGCACTGAGGGTAATAAAGAAGACGACATCAACAACTCTACTCGGCTAAATGAGTTCCAGAAAGAACCCAATTCTTTAGGTTAACTTTTCAAAAGCAAATATCAAAAAGAAAACATTTTGTACTGGTTGTTTTTATTTAGAAAGTCTGCTTGATGCCCAAAACTTATATCATGTTCCAACGGCTGTGAAAAATAAGAGTAATTCCCTTCCCAAATCAGGAATAGTTCAAAATTATTAAAGTTGTAAAGTAGAACATATCAGACTGTTGAATAATAAGACGAGTGGTGTACTCAAATTATGATTTTAAATAGTTCAAAAAACATAAAAAAACACAAAGTATTTGTGCAGTGTGCAGGCTCATATTTTACTTAATTATTTTATTTTTTGTGAACTACAATTGTTTTTGTTTTAGAACAACATTGAATAGACATAAGATTTCTTAAATTGTCATCTCAATTTACCACAGTTTTATAGGTCCCTGGTAACCTTAAATCAGACGTTACTGAAACAAGGGTGTAGCGGTGAAACACCATATGAGGGCTAAAGACATAGGTTTATTATAGAAATGTTTCTACCTCTGATAGTTTGGAATGCCGCGGTGACTGTTTTATGAATAATTTTGTCCTCAGCTTTCAGTAACATTCAACTTAAAGTCCAAGAAATTAGGGACCAACTTGATGTTTTGAAACAAACTTCACATGTTTCAGGGATACCAAATAGTTTAACAATAAAAAAGATTAAAAAAATCTTTTAAAAATAATTGATCGTTGAGGTTATTTTTTTAAATATCTATAATCTGTAAACGCGTTTATATAAAGTAAATTGCACATGAGATTTCTATTCTCTATTTGAAGAGCAATTGAGGAAAACAGACAAGTTTTGATTTTCTCATAGTAAAAATCTAAACTAGATGAAATACAAGGTCACAAGGTCATACTAGTGATGTCTCATTTTGTCTCGTTTGTGAATTTTTCTGGAGTTGGTTGTGGCATCTTTTCTTTAACTTTTATACGATTCTATCAATGTTTTACAAATCTATCAGTTCAATATTCTTAAGCCAATCAGATGCGAAAAGTAATCCTTCCGGCAAATAAAAAAGACGAGAAAAAAATACCTTAGCATTTTAGCAATATTAAAAAGTGCCATAGTATTTCTTTTATCACAAACATATTCTAAAGTTTGCTCAACATTTTTAAGATTATTTTTTTTGGAATTTTCAACTTAAGCTTGAATAGGGTATTCATGTTGATGTGTACTGAAAAACGTGATTATTATTTTAATTAATAATATAAAATGAATACAATTTTTTACAGTTCGATAGCTACAGTGCTATAACCAGAAAACAGAATAGGAGGTCGACTTTTAGATTCAAGGTTTATCATTAAATAGCCCAAAGAATGTTAGTCCCAGCAATTGTGCAATGTAAACAGACTCATTACTTACAGTGATTTTATAACTTACTCTAGTAAAGTTATTGCAGTAGAATTGTGATGTAATTGTAAAAAAAAATGTTTCTTCTGCGGACTATCTCTTTCGGTGATTTGCGCTCTTAAATAGAAGTAATACACCGTAAAAGTGTTTCATTCTTATCAAATAAATCCTAAAATTGTTCTCTATAATACTGCTCTCTCGGTTCAAATATGTTTTAATGTAGTCTTCCTATTCTTTAGTTTTCTGGTTACAACTGTATTTTTGTGGGGTAAAAACTATTTGGTAATTATAAGGTTCAAAAGCTCTTCAACAAGTCTTTCCTACCATACGATCCTCTAACTTTTCAAGGTATTAAAGGGACTGTAAGTGTAATTTCAAGAGATCCCCCATGCAAAGATTGGAATGCCCGAGTTACAACGGTACCCTGCAAAAGCTTTGTCTGCAGATCAAGTACGGATTAGATATCCTTGTTTTTGTTTATCTAAAACTGTTTATTTTTATTTGGGGTTTCTCTAAAATAATTGAGCATTTCTTGCTCTTAAGAAACAACGGAAAAGTTATCAGAATTAACACTTTCTAAGTCAGAAAAACGACATAATCGCACATTGCAATCTTGATATGAAATGAAGGAGGGTTATTTGCAAATAACGCTTACAGTCCCTTTAACTAAAACAAAAAACAAGTATAGAACTAACAAGTATTTAATGGTGATATGTTTCAGTGACTATTTTGATGAAGGATATGATGAAGGATATTTATCTAAACCAACCAACTATCCAACCAATCAATCAAATTCACATGACAAGTTTACTAAACTGGATAACCGGCCAGGATTCCTCAACAATAGGCACAGTTCCTAGCGAATAAATTATTAAAAATTGATGCAAAGAAATGTTGGGATTTCATAAAGAAAATGAGTCTTTGCCAAAAAATCAAATTTTTAAATCCCTTCATCTTTGTAACTGGGCAGTGTAAATTTTTTATATTTTAAAGTTAGATTATACAATTTAACAGAATTCATAGTTTGAAATATCTATGATCTACGACACAGGGCTACAAAGATACAAGGATTAGGAAATTAGAGTTTGTGGCAAATACTTGATAACTTTGTGAGAAATGCCAACTATTCGGTTCAAAAATTAGGACACAAAAAGTTAGTAATTTTGAAATGCTTTCAGTGGGTAGTTAAATATGTCGAACATAATACTTTTAGATTGACATACAACTACACGTTATAAACGTTATAAACGTTATAAACGTTCGCACCCCTCGATCTTAGATTTAAATTTTTTCATTTTTAGCGAATAATTTTTTTTTTTTTTTTTGAAACACTTGGATTTGTCCAGACCTATGTCAATGCCATCACCCCCCATGGAGTCAACTTCTCCATTACATTCTCCAAACTCCATGTCTCCAAGGTCTCTCTCTCCGAATCCGCAGTCCAGGAAATTTGATATTCTTATTCAATTTTTAATGATAAGGTACAATTTAAATATGGCGCTGGGAAGAATTTTTACATCTATCAATAATATCTATTTTGAACTGACAAAACTAAATAAAAAATATGGAAAGTAAGAAACTGGAAGTTATAGTAAGTCCAGGGAGGTTTTAGGATAAAGAAATCAAGTCTTTGCCTCAAACTAAAATTTCCTCATCTTTCCAACTTTAGTGTGTAGTGTGTACACCTTTGATATTTCAAACTTAAATTATCTGATGAGTTTGAAATAGCTTTGATCTTGGGTTGCAAAGATATAGGAATTAAAAATTAACGTTTGGAGCAAAGACTAAATTCCTGTGTGGGGGTTTGACTTCATTATAATCAGTAAATGTCTAAACAAGGAAAATCCTGGACAAAATTTTAGAATATATAAAAATATCTATTTAAAGTCCAAAGCACAACATCCGAACTTCCAACTGTTTGAACAATATACAGGTAGTCTAAAACATTGTATTAAATATTGGACAATTAAAAATGGACGTAATTTTAAAGTGTATTTTCTCCAGTTAGAAATGCCGCAGTGTGCGGGCTATGGCAGTGTTTCTTAATTTCAGCAAGAAAAAAATTGTGAGCCGTAAATACTCCTTTTTTTGAAATCAAGAATTAATTAAGATTATGTCGATCTTTAGTTTCTTTAATAACTTAAAATTTTATTTTCTAAAGAACAAGCAGCGAAGTATTTTTGCGTCACCATATTTTGAGTTTGGATCGTCACCACATAGTTCACCTAGTACACTCAGCCCCTGCTCATCTAACAGTCTACCATCATACAAGGATAGTCTTTAGATAATATTATCATACTTTTAATCAATAGAGGTCTTTTGCTCATCAATCAAATGAAAGAACCCAGTGTAATATTACTTTTAACAAATGTAAGTTTAGAAAGAAAAAAAATCGTTTGTTTAGATGAACAGTTGCCTCAAGCTCTAAATTTTGTAATCCCTATATCTTTGCAACTTCAACTATGTAGAAGGTTCACATTTAAGTTGAGTGGTTCAATTCAGTCAAAGTATTCAACTAACTCTATTAATCTGGTCCTGATTGATATTTTAAACTTTTAGATCTAACAAAATTCATGATTCTTTGACTTTCCCTTTTTCATTATAAATTATTATTAATAATAATACAGAATGGTATTGAACCAATAAGAATACAAGTAAATGCATGTGCATGTTGAACTGGATATATAAATCCTCTAATCCAAAGATAAAAAGCTAATTCTTGCTTCTCTATCAGACAATACCTACCCTTGTTATGAAAAGAAAATAACATTGTTTTCTTTGTCGAGATATAACCATTACATTTACAATACTGTATGTTATCTAATATACTATCTACAGGGGAAACCAGCGAAGCTCTCAATTCTAAGCCAATACTCTTTACCCAAAGATTTAGAAGGGTTGGAGGTGAAAAACAAAAAAAATACATTCTTAGATTGAATTTTAAAAACAAAAATGTACATTTTTTTAGGATGAGTTAGATCAAAAACAGGTTGAGCGGTTACTTCTTTTCTTTGAGGTTCTTAATACCCAAGAGAGAATCAGCAAGGTTTTATAAATATATCCTAATATAAAAAAAAATTATTTACATCAGGAGAGGATAGAAACCAAATAGATTATCAAGTACAATAGGTGGCAACAGAGAAATGGACCAATTATACATGACGTCACAAGTGTTGAATATAACAAGGAAGACAACATGCTCTCCCATTAGTTGACATGTTTTCCAAGATTAAATAAAAATGTGTATAAACAGAAACTAAAGAACACAATATTGCATTTATTTCACTGTAAGATAAGCACTTTATTTTCCTCATCATTAATAATTTTGTCGGACATATAAAACTACAAATTCTACGAATTGCCAAAAAGTATAGTGATAAATAACAAAGTTAAACCGTATATCATATATTGGTAAACTTAGATTATAGTTCTTATTAAAAATGAACTACTACATTACTCTGAAAAGAACTATCGGAGAAAACTGTTTTGAAAATAACTATCTAATCTTTAACTGAACCAACCCATGGATACCGTTCAATACAGATTTTATCTAAATATGAGAAGAAAATAAAAATACCATCTAATTTGATCGTATCATCATATCTACCTCTAATAATCACACCTTGTATCCAATAATTTATTCTATAATACTGTGTTCTTATAAAATGTGTCCTATTTGAAAGATCGTCTATGTAAAAAAACTTAGCTGGCCTCAAAATCAGAATCATTTGAATTGACAAAATGAGTAGCACTCAATCTATTTGCGAGGAGAGATCGAGTTCAACACATTTTGTCAAATCAAATCAAAAAGATGAAATCCCGTCTACGTTAAAAAAGTTTAGCATAGGTGAATAACTTATCTTGACTGTGTATGTTTTAGAAGAAGACGAAATCTGAAAGTATTGCTCTTGTAGTATTTATAGTAGACAACTTGGAGATAATAAAATCATATTTTTACATCTCTTAGAATGATTTAAATTATTTCTACTCCAAGGCTCCTTACTGAAGCTATCAGCATAATGAAAATAGTTTTATAACAAGTTTTACAAGGTTAAAGGAAATTTTGTCCTCTAAGCTTCTAAAATATTTCAATAGATATAATCCTGCCTAATCAGATAATTTGCAATATTTGTTTTTCGGTGTGTCTCAATATTTGTAGAGATCAGAAAATTTGGCAGATGTAAATTATTTTTTCTAATTTATGTTCGCCAATTTTCACATTTGAACGTTATGAAATGCAACCTAAAAATATTTAAATTTTCACAAATCTTGTAAAATCTAAATAGTTTAGGACAGGATGCGATATGTATACCAATAAGATCTTGTGTACACAAAATACAATGCATAGACAAACAGAAAAATGTTATAACACAACATTCTTCTCTTTTATTTGAATAAATGCAACATTCTCTTTCACAAAACTTTGCAAGATGATTTTTACTCGAATTTTGTTTGTTATCAACTAGAAAAAGAAAAAATCACCAAAACTTTAGAAGTTTCTAAAATATGCAAACGCTTACAAATAATCACTTTTTCCTACGAGTGTATCGATGTTGAAATGATTTGTTTAAAAGCATGAACTTCGTTTAAAAGCTTACAACAAAAAAAACATGTATATTCATGGGACAGGCAAGTACATGTATTTTCTAGTTTCTACCAGACTGTTACCGTAAAATATATTCTTGACAATAATATCTGGTATACGCACACTGAACAACTATTGTATAGAAGATAGTGCTATTAAATATGCAACTGCAAAGTAGCGTAAATATCGAATATTTTTAAAACAAAATGTATTGTTCTAAGATGAATATTACATTATGTTTTATAAAATTAATAATAATGTTTTTACAAATGATTTTACTTCTTTACTATATTTAACATATTGTTCAGGACCTGCAGGAAGAAATGGAAAATCATAAAGAGATGTTTCTTTCCTTGGACAAGACAGGTCGTCAGCTAGTATCTGGGTTAACCAGCCAGGAGGATGCTAGCCTACTACACAGGTAGATATGCTAGGCTAGGCTCCAATTAACAATTTCATCTTTAATGGTCACTCTAGTATGCCAAGTCCATTAGCATCTGATCCAATCAGGGTTTAGTCATGTGTTTGTTGTCTATTCTGAACCAATAGAAATAGTATGGCGGTAACATCTATCTTTCAATATATCGCATTATCCCATTAGAGATAAATCCTTCAATTGGCGCTATCAGCAGATGGAAATATTTACTTCTACTGAAACTATAGTGCACGGTTTGCTCCGAGAGTGTCCATTTTTAATCATTCTCAATTTTTGGCAGATTTGTCTATTTATATTGGCGCGTTTTCAAAAATAATGATGTCAACAAGCAAAGTATATATAATATAGATAATAATAATAAGGATTAATTGAAAACACATTTTCAAGGACAAAAACAATCGTTATAGTTTACGTATGTGTTAAATAAATCTTTCAGAAACCATTGGAGAATAATTTGTAGGATTCTTTTTTACACAAATATTTTCTAGACCTGCAGCATTCATCTTTTTTTCATTAAAAAGTTGTAATCAATATGCCGTATGACAATCTAATTTTAGAAAAAACCAAAAAAAAATTCACGATATGATATTAATTTATGATTTATTGAATAAATGCAAGTATAAGTTTAATCTGAAATCAATATTTTTTTGTGAAATCATTATCACATATATATAATATATATTCATACAACATTCACACCCTCGACTAGCCAGTTCGAGATGCATTCGGTTTCTTTTTCTGAATTCAATTGTAATTTGATTTATGATTCAACAATCTTTAACCTTTTTTTATTTTTTTATTTAAGACGTATTTGCCGACAAAAAAGAATAAGAGAGTAATTACGCGAATTGTAGGATTAGCAGGTCAAACTGTTCAATCCGCGTACTCAATATCGATATCCAGTGTGAAAACTTCAAAATTTCCGGATATGTGCTTGATCAATCATAACTAGAGGATTATGATTGATCAAGAAGAGCTGTTGAAAAGTAAAAAAAATGTTTTGAATTCTATTCTATGTTTAACCTGATAGTGTAAACCTTTTATATTTCAAACTTAGATTGTTTGATCTAACAGAACTCAAAGTTTGAAATATCTAAGAACTAAGACATTAGGCTACAAAGATATTGGGATTAGAAAATCAGAGTTAGGGGCAAAAAATCAATTTCGTTGCTCAATTCGCTTGTGTGCAAAATCTGAATTAGAACAAGACCGCGCCAGTAATTTCGCTTAAATTGAAGCTTCTCTAGGGTTTCCATTCGCAAAACTCTTGCGCAGATTTTACAGAACGAAAAGCAAAATTTTTCTTTCTTTGCGCATCAGTTTTGCGCGAAAAAAAAACAATTTGCGCAATCATTCGCAAAAGTCATTTCGCGCAAAATTGCCCTATTCCGCTTTTGCGAAACTCAAGTTTTGCGCAATTCCGCAAACGGTTGGTGACGGTGTGTGTTTCTTAGAATTCAATTCTAGAAAAATCTTGTTTTGGAATGTCTTCCTATTGGTCACTTTTACATAATTGACCAAAGACAGTTAAGAAGAGTTCAAATCTCACAATTTTCTCGACAATTTTAGTTTTGGACATGCATATTTCCTAAAAATGGATCATTCGGGCATTGGTTACTTTCTGGCATAATTTTATATGAGATTAAAAAGATTTCAGAAATTTGATTAAAAAAATAAGAATATAATTCATACTTGATTAGGCAAAGCTTTTAAGGGTCACTTGAAATTATTTAATAGGATTAAAATATTGCCAAGTTTCACACTCTCTAATTTCTATTTTATTAATTTTGGTCCCTTAATTTAAACTTTTTGTAACTGGAAGTAACCATGAATTGAGTGTAGTATAACCGTTATCCTACTCGTATGTTAATATTTTTTTTATATGGAATAAATCTTCAGTTGTTTAATTCTAAGCTTAGAATATCAATTTTTACAATTTGCCTAAAAAGTTACATTTTGTGCAAAACTTGCGATTTTGCGCAAATTGCGCAAAACTAAAATTTCGTTTCATGCGCAACTTTCGCAAAAAATATTTCCGGTGTTGCGCAAATTGCGCAAAAAAATAGCGAAAAACTCATTGCGTTTCATGCGCAAAAATAGCGCAAAAGTTCGCAAAAAAAAATTGCTCGAAAATAGCGCAAATCTTGCGAAAAAGATTTAGCCATTTTGTGGTAACCCTAAGCTTCTCCTTCTTTCTTGTAAAGAATTTGGCGTGGCAACTTCTAAAATGTACAATGTATAATGTAAATGACAAGGGCAGCTGAAAAGTATCTGTGAATTAGTAAGCTGCAAAACCAAAGGCCGAGGTATCAAAACTTCTAAATTGTACAATGTATAATGTAAATTACAAGGGCAGCTAAAAGTATCTGTGAATTAGTAAGCTGCAAAACCAAAGGCCGAGGTATCAAAACTTCTAAAATGTACAATGTATAATGTAAATGACAAGGGCAGCTGAAAAGTATCTGTGAATTAGTAAGCTGCAAAACCAAAGGCCGAGGTATTAAAACTTCTAAAATGTACAATGTATTATGTGAATTACAAGGGCAGCTAAAAGTATCTGTGAATAAGAAAGGCAAAACCACAGGCCGAGGTATTAAAACTTCTAAAATGTACAATGTATAATGTAAATTACAAGGGCAGCTAAAAGTATCTGTGAATTAGAAAGGCAAAACCAAAGGCCGAGGTATTAAAACTTCTAAAATGTACAATGAACTATGTAAATGACAAGGGCATCTGAAAAGTATCTGTGAATTAATAAGGCAAAACCACAGGCCGAGGTTTTAAAACTTCTAAAATGTACAATGTATAATGTAAATTACAAGGGCAGCTAAAAAGTATCTGTGAATAAGAAAGGCAAAACCAAAGACCGGGTATTAAAACTTCTAAAATGTACAATGTATAATGTAAATTACAAGGGCAGCTAAAAAGTATCTGTGAATTAGTAAGGCAAAACCAAAGGCCGAGGTATTAAAACTTCTAAAATGTACAATGTATTATGTAAATTACAAGGGCAGCTGAAAAGTATATAAATTAGTAAGGCAAAATCGACTTAGTCTTGAAAATGTATGCATTATTATTATCTGGATCTATATCCAGTCTATCTTACAGGCTTTATCTCTTTTTTTGATTTTCTTGATTGTAGGCCATAAAGTTTCATAAAAATAATTGTTATTCTCATTGTATTTCAGGAGGCTTGAAGAGATGAATCAAAGATGGAATTACCTGAAAGCTAAGAGTATGGCAATAAGGTATATTTTTGGCTTTTAGTGGCTCTACAAAATATTAAAATGTTTTCATATATTAAAATTATGTTATCTTCAAATATCTTTATTAATACATAATTTAAAATTTGTAATCTGACAAAAGATTTCTTACAAGTATCTTAATATTCCGTGGAACCTCTTGAAGGTGCTTGAAGCCTGATTTTAATTGATCATCCATTTGTAGAATAATGCTTTTGATTCACAACAGTACCCTTCAAACCTTTGACTGATCAAGGATAACATAATTATCATTATTTATTTAAAGAAACTATTGTAACTGTTGACTACTTTGTTTAATTGCAAGCTGTTGTGAAGAAATTTAAAAATGTCCTTAAAATATACCCATCAATTATAATGAAAAATTATTAAATTCAAATAATGATAGGCGCAAACCTTAGTTTTTCAGCCTTCTCTGAGATATCGTCGTTTTCAGATTGAATGCGTATTTGCTGAATATGATCTGTATAAACCAACGGCTTTTATACAACATTTTATATTTATAAATTTTCTTATAAATTTGACCAAGTTTTATAATAATTTCTCGAAACAGGAACATCAGATAGAATTATTATAGGTCTCGATCAACTCCTAAAATGCTAGGTGTTCAGTCTATCCCCCTTTCATTTTTCCTTTATAGTACCTTTAAGTTCTTTTAAATAAGACTAAATTGTTATAAATCCTTCAAAGCCTTAATATTTTTTTTATGTATTGTTATATTTCATCGGCGTGAATTTTTTAAAAAGCTAGAACGTAATTTTATATTATATTTTAACCTCTCCAAACATGAAAAATATTTCTAAATGATTTATAGTTTTTAATAATGATTGTACTCAACAGTTTCTCAAGTATTCTTTAATGTTTCCTTTTTTCTTTCATCATTCATATAATTATATTTTGTACATACAAACAGATAAATAACTTTATTTTACTTTATTACTAACAAATCTTAAATGTTATTAAAAATCAAAAGTCATTAACTTGGGTCTACTTTTAAAAGTAAGGTTTCAATGCCTTTCCTCCCTCTTTCGCTGTCAATAAATTTTATATTAAAGTATAGGCTCAAAGATGCGCTGCCGTCCTTCCCTCCTTAATCTAAAACTTGAGGTTGCAAGGAATGTTCTTCTTCTTAATAAAAGATGGACTACTTCCCCTCCCTCTCTCTTAAAGATAAGGCTTAGTAAAATCCCCACCATTCCCGGTCCCCTTCTCAATGCATTCCACCTCCTTTCCAGCCCCATCTTCAAATCGAAAAATGCTAAATTTTTGCGAAAAAAGAAATGCAAAAATGTTGCTAAAAATGCAAACATCTCGCGAAAAAAGTGCGAAAACTTCTAATGCTGAGCTCTCAGAGCAAAAAACTCTACAAGTTTTTTTGCGCAGTCAAGTTTTTAATTGTTGCAGTTACAAAACGTATGGCTTTCGCGGAAGTTTTTTTCGCGAAAATAATTTCGCTGAAAACTCTAGTCCAAAGTAAAGTTTTTAAGTCGAGGATACTAGGACTTTTTTGGGGGGGGACAAAAATTGACTTCTTTTTGTCATTGTTATCGGTCCGCAGGTTTACGATAAATTTTCTAGAACTTTTAGGGTGTTTCACTGTTTAGCCCCAGTTCTGGAGTTTTAATCCAAAAGGAATTGAGTCTTTGTCACAAGCTAAAATTTTCTAATCCATATATCGTTGCAACCGATGGGGTAACCTTTGATACTTCAAACTTAGGTTTTTAGATCTAACAGAATTAATAGTTTAAACTATCAAAGGTTATTATCGGGTTGCATAAAAATAGGGGTTAATAATTAAGAGTTTGTGGCAAAGACTCTATTAAACAGCGTATAATATTACTCAGGGAGCTGGTTGACTGGGTGATCAAGAAGGAAGGGGAGCTCCTCAATATGGGGCTAATCGGTGGAGATGAGATAACAATCAGAAAACAGCAGGTAAAAAGAATTAAAAATTTCAAATTATTAAAAATATCTTGTTCCGAAATTTTGCGTACAAATTGTTATAAATGCTTATTTGAGAAGATAACAAAGCCTTTAGATTAGTAAGTACAAAACTTCAAAAAATTCCAACGTTATTATTTGAAGAAAAAAAAATTTACATAAAAAAAATAAAGAAACAAGATGCGTACATTAAAAACAAGCAACATCATACTTTAATTAAACGAATGATGCTTTAAAAGTAAAAAAAAATGTTAAGTTGAGAAAAAGAACTTTTGGGAATTTAAATAAAACAGGAAAATTAGGAAAACTTTAATAATTATATTTGAGGATGAAACACGCATGCTGAAACGTCAACTCTACGAGAAGCGTCCGATTATTGAGAACAAATTGTTGAGTGGAAGACAGTTTCTAGCAACAGAACCAACACCCTCAGATACCTCAGATAGTGATAGTAAGATTTTTATACATTTATTTATTCAAGTCAAGGATTATAGAAAGCTCTGCTGAATTTGTACTGGTTAAACCAGATGGTATTAATGGTTTTAAACATATTTATGACCGATAATTTTGTGTTTTCAAAAATGGGTTCAAACCAAGATAGTTCAATTGTTTTAAAACTATAATAGCCCCTAGATTAGGAATTAAAAATATATTTAAAAAGATGTGGATTTCAAATCTTGACCAAAAAATATATATCATATTTTAGTAAGCCGGGAAGCATGATCTGATTATATGACATTCTTTGTGAGTCGGGAAGCATAATCTGATTATATGATATTCTTAGTGAGTCGGGAAGCATAATCTGATTATATGACATTCTTAGTGAGTCGGGAAGCATAATCTGATTATATGACATTCTTAGTGAGTCGGGAAGCATAATCTGATTATATGATATTCTTAGTGAGTTGGGAAGCATAATCTGATTATATGATATTCTTAGTGTGTCGGGAAACCAGAATTTGATTTTATATAATGTTTTCAGTGAGTCGGCGACCAGATAGTCTGATTGTATAATAGTTTAGTGAGTCGGAAAGCAGAATCTGGTTGAATAATATTTTAGTGAGTTGGGAAGCAGAATCTGATTATAGGATATTTTTAGTGGGTCGGGATACAGAATCTGAATTAATAATATTTTAATTGAGTTGGTAAATATAATCTGATTATATGATATGTTAACTAGTGAGTCGGAAAACAGAATTTTATTTTAGCATATTTTTAGTGAGTCGGGAAACAGAATCTGACAGTAAAAGTGATGATTTAACCAAAGACCAGTTAAATAAGTCAATCAGGTAGAAAGTTACAAGTTTTCCCTCTGATAAAGGAATTGAGTCTTTTTCACAAACTCAAATATTCTAATCCCTATATCTCTGGAACCCGATGTCGCAGACCTTAGATATTTCAAGCTGTGAAATCTGTTAGATCACATAGCCTAAGTTTGAAATATTAATGGTTATATCATTAGGTTGCAGAGATATAGGAATTACAAAATCAGGGTTTGTGTCAAAGACTCAATTCCTTTGTAAACAAATTACAAAATCTGAAATTATTAATTTCACTGCAAACGTACGTTTATTTTAATTCAATCAATACTCCTACATTCTAATCTATACAGACGGCAAACAAAAGTAAATGTTAAAACAATTGATATCTTTGTTTGTTTTATAGCTTCTTTATTGTTCTACTTGTGAGTAAAATCAAAACCAGAGAAACTTCGAGGTTACAAAGTCGTAACAGTGATGTTGTATTATATGACCTTCTCATGTCTAGTTTCCAGTACCGTATACTTAAACTTATAATGCAGACAATTCCTTAGTTAATTCAACTGTATGCCATTCTCTATAAAATCTAAAAATATGAATTAAAGCTGTTTCTAGAATTTTTATATTTCTCTTCGGGAAAAGTAGTTCTGGGGAAAAGTAGAGAGAAAAAAAATAAAATTGTTAGTCTAGTAACAATCGTATATATCTTGTTCGTTTATTTGTTTTTATTTTAATAGAATTAAGTCTTTGCCACAAACTCTTATTTTATAGCCCCTATATCTTTGCAAGCCGTGTCTTAGAGCTTAAACACCCCGGACTAACCAGAGTGAGCAGCATTCGGTTTCTTCTATTTGAAATCAAAAGTGCTTTGGTCTTTTAACTTACAGATTTGTTTATTCTCTACTTGTTCATTCAAAATGCATATGCCAACAAAAAAGTATTTATGAAGAAATGCAAAAAAATATGTTTAATGGGTCAAATTGTGATCGAAAGTCATCGCGTTCTGAAATATTGATAGAACCGTTAAATCAACGTGTAATGGAAATATCAAATTTTAGTTTGTGGCTCAATTTCTTTGTCCTAAAAATACATTGTAGATCAGTAGCACAAGTCTCTTATTTCATTTTCTATACTATTATATAAACACTTTTTACAATGTAACATAAATTGTTGGTTCTATTCTTTTCCTGAGAGAATTTTCCACAAATTATAAAATTTAAACGAAATTTCGAGCAACAAAGAAGATTATGGTGATATGATACATTTTAAGCATTTTTAAAATAAATTTTAAATTTTCTTTTGAAATTAAAAATGTTCTCTTGAAAGAAATGCTTACACACACACTGACACAGTATTCTAATTATTTAAAATTCCATATTCCTTCGTTTATAACATGAGGTAAAAGTTTTATTTCCTAATAAAATTGACGGGAGGTTGCTAAACTATTTATATATATATATATATATCTAGACGGGAGATTGCTAAACTATATTAATTTAGACAGGAGGTTGCTGAACTATATTTATATAAACGGCAGGTTCCTAAACTATGTATATTTCGACTGGAGGTTGCTAAACTAAATTAATCTAGACTGGAGTTTTGTAAGCTATATATATATAGACGGGAGGTTGCTAAACTATATATATAGACGGGAGGTTGCTAAACTATACTAATCTAGACGGGAGGTTGATAAACTATATAGATATATAGACGGGAGGTGCTAAACTATATATTTATATATATATATATATATATATAAACGGGAGGTTGCTAAACTATATAAATATATATAGAGACGGAAGGTTGCTAAGCTATATTTATCTAGACGGGAGGTTGCTGAACTATATATATATACGGGAGGTGCTAAATTATATATATATGTATATATATAGACGAGAGGTTGCTAAACTATATATATATCTAGACGGGAGGTTGATAAACTATATATATATATATATAAACGGGAGGTTGCTAAACAATATTTATCTAGACGGAAGAGGTTGCTAAGCAATATTTAACTAGACGGGAGTTTTCTAAACTATATATATCTAGCCGGGAGCTTGCCAAATTATATATAAATATAGACAGGAGGTTGCTAAACTATATTTATCTAGACGGGAGGTTGCTAAATTATATATATATATAGACGGGAGGTTGCTAAAATATATTTATTTAGACGGGAGGTTGCTAAACTATCTGATAAATGGAGTAGCCTGTTGAGCAACGTAGATCTATGGTTGAGAAAATTAGAAGACACCCTTCCTGTAAGTACTTTATTTAAACTGAATTTTAAAGCCCCATCCCCCCTTAAGGGATTGTAAATATCATTCTAAGTGTAAATGTAACTTTGAGTACCGTTGTATTGCATTGCCATCTTTGCATGGGATGCCACTACAGTCCATTGCATATTTTTGATGTGTTTTAATTCAAAATTCAAATTTTGCATTATTCTGTTAATTTGTGTATTTCAAAGAAGTAAAAATGTCACTCGGAACTTTGTTGGGAAGAATTTTTAAGATTTCGACCTGAAATTAAAATTTCCTGGGGCCATTGGAGGCCGATCGGTTCAGCCGTTTTACGTTTATTAGATACCTTGAATACGCAATTTTGAATTTTAAACTATTTTGAATTTTTTACTTTTTTTCTGAGAGATAATAAATGAGAAAAGAGAAATTTCTAAATGAATTGTTTACAATACAATGAAGGTTAATGTTGAATTCTCTGACGAGAGAAGAATGATGAAATAATTTAACAACTGCTGAAATAAGAGAAAGTTTGTAAAGAAATAAAGTTTGCTGTCAAATGAAATCATTTTCTTGCTTTTCAACTTTCAAATCTTTAAAGAAATTTTCCGAATAAAGTTGTTTGCATTTTGTATCAAAACTTTGAAACATTTTCATATTTTCTAAATTTACAATATCTTATCATATTAATATCGACATCTTATCATATTAATATCGACATCTTATCATATTAATATCGACATCTTATCATATTAATATCGACATTAAAATTTATATTTTTTTCAGAAAGTTCACAGTTTTCAAACAGGCATTGAAGCCGTTTTAAGTCAGGTCAATTTTTTTAATAATGTTTTAATAATGTTTTAATAATGTTTTAATAATGTTTTAATAATGTTTTAATAATGTTTTAATAATGTTTTATTAATGTTTTAATAATGTTTTAATAATTTTTTGATAATGTTTTAATAATGTTTTAATAATGTTTTAATAATGATTTACTAATGTTTTAATAATGTTTTAATAATGTTTTAATAATGATTTAATAATGTTTTAATAATGTTTTAATAATGTTTTAATAATGTTTTATTAATATTTTAATAATGTTTTAATAATGTTTTAATAATGTTTTAATAATGTTTTAATAATGTTTTAATAATATTTAAACATACGAACCCTTCAGTTTTTTCGGCCCTCATTGGTTGGAAGAGTTAAAAGAATTGTTAAAATTTTATCTTTGAATATTTAAGTATTCAGTCCCCCTTTTACCAATATTTATTTGGACAGTTCTTTTTATTTTATCTTCTCAAATTTGAACTCAATTCTCAACTGGAAATGTTGTTTAATATTCTCTACTCTTCATTCCCTTCTTTGAAATCTGTCTTATACGTAATACAAAGTGAAAACTCGTGTCAAAAATTTACTTCCCGCCACCCCTTCTCTTTTCTCCCCCCCCCTCACAACCAAACTTTTCCTTTTTAAAATTTCAGTCCCATTTTTTTATTTTGAAACATTAATAAGGGTGAAATTATGATCGATTATTTTAGAATTAACTGTTCAGTAAATATCTTAATCCTTTAAAAACCCAACTCCATCCACCTCTGCCCCTTTAGTAAAAGTAAATTCAACATATTTGAAGCATAAAGTCTGACCGCGTCAACCTTGTTGTACCGGCTAGTCCTGTTAAATTTCTTCTGTATTAACTCAATGTCGTGCAGTGCAGTACAAACTGGGACCGGAAAACTTGACCCGGATCGGAAATTCAAATGTACTACGGCTGCCTGTGACTCCCTCCTTTTTATTTTCAAAAGATCTCTCAGTCCCCTTCCCAACGATATTTAATCCTGTCCAAACATATCTGCAATGTTAAACGGAAAAAAGGGACGTTTTGAGAACAAATAAAATTGAGTTCTCTTTCAAAAAAAAAGTTTAAAACCCTTATTTTTATTTTCAAATCTATGTTATTCAGGTGTACGCTGCCGAGCATACGCAGAAAACTCTTATTTCATCAAATAATATGGATCCACAATCTATCCGGAATCAACTCAAGGTAGACTATATGCAAGATTTGTAGTAAATACCTTACTCCATAAAAGTCTGTCAGACCTGTATCAATCCAGGTACAACTCGATCTGTATTCTCATGTATCTGTCTTACAAGATACAACTCTCAGCTAAAATACTCAATCTGTATCAATCCAGATAAGGCGTTGTTGTATTCTTCTGGTATCTATGTTTCAAGATACAACTTAATCCCTCTTGTTAATACACGAGGCATAAAACCATTCCATTCTGTAATACGGTACCAATTCAGGAATCCTTCAGTATTCTTTGGGTATCTATGTTTCAAGATACAATTTATCGTAATTCCAAATCTAGTTCTTTCTCTCAAGAGAGAGTGATTCAGGACGCTAAACAAGAAGTAATCACTATCACACTGTAATCAAAGCGGAGTCTATTCCAACTATCTTACAAGTTAATTTAATCAACGTAATTGCAAGTTTTATGAGGTTATATTCACGTGTAGTTAAGCTAATCACAAAACAGGTGTATAGACTATAGCTAGGCTAGGTTAATCGCAATACAAGCTTTGCTACTATTTAGCTACTATTTACAGACGTAGATAATTAATAATGTACAACGTAGTTCAGGTTTACAGATATATTTTTTACACGATATTCATTACAGGTTCACGGTTATCAAAAGGTTGCAAACTTTTATGCAAAAATCGATGCGAATATTGCAAAGTACTTCTTTTAAACTTAAACTTTAAACCAGTGCCTTTACTTACCAAAGGAATTGAGTCTTTGCCACAAACTCTGATTTTCTAATCACTATCTTTGGAACAAAATGTTGCAGACCTTAGATATTTCAAACTATAAATTCTGTTAGATCAAATAATCTGAGTTTGAAATATCAAAGGTTTACAACATCGGGTTCTAAATGTTTTGGTCTATAATTCAACAATCTTTTACTTTACGGATTTGTTTATTATACATTTTCATTCAAAATGCATATGTCAAAAAAAGATATAAAAGGAACAAGGCTTAAAAATTATGTTTAATGGGTCAAATTGTGATCGAAAGTCACAGCTTTCTGGAATATTGACAAAACCGTTAAATCCACGTGCGGGCCCCCTCTTAAAAACCACCGACTTGGGCCTAAACCTCAGCCATTCTATAAATACAAATAATAATAATAACTAATATTTTAGAGTTTTAGTGGAACACTTATCCCTCTACAAAGGGTTGTAGAGGACATAAACGACCAGGAAAAAACATATTTTTTATATTTCTTTTATAATTACGACTATAGATGCATAACATAAATGAATATTAAACATTATTTAAAGTAAATTAATCTTCGTATGAAGAATAAAAAAAGTAATAAAACAGTTATGTAAGCACACTGTCACGCACTTTATGTCCATATTGAGAAAGATTTCTGCTAAAAATATTGATAAATATGTGAATAATGATAAAGGCGTCAGATTTCACCTCTAATAAAATATATTTGTCTGGTTCCCTTCTGTCGAGGCTAGAAGACATTAATACAAGGTAAAACAGTTGTTTTCTCGTAGAATTTGCACCAGTCCATAATTTTTATAAAATTTACTACAATTTATATATAAGGACTTTACTGAATTTAACTTTACAAACATAAATATTAAATTGTACCGAGCCTGCAAAAGAACATGAACTGTACTGTACTGTACTATGTACTCTAGGTGGAAGTTAGTACAGCTAGCCGCTGATGATCAGTATAAAAGATTAAACGAGGTGCGAGGAAAGGATAGACAGCCAAATACTCAGGTAAAAACGGTTAAATACTAAATGTAAAAAGACATTTTTTATCTTATCTTATTTCTTGAAGTCATAAATGTGTTAATTTGTTAAACCTAACGTTCAATTGAACTTCCTCATTAGGGGTAATTTTCCGGTCTTTTTTATCATTTTTTTAAACCTCATTACCGCCAGAACAATTAAAGTAAACTGTACAATTTTTTATTTTTTCTGTGAATTATGAAAACATAATTTTAATAGAAAACATGAATACATTTGTTTTCCTGTTTACTATCATTGGGAGATTTCTTTTGATGAAACTACAAAGAAATCCATCTAAATATTTTCCAACAATGTCCTCTACAAGAAAAATATGTTTATTTGATAAATCTTCTTTTTGCATAGTTGCAAAATATTCAATAACACTTTTAGTAAACACACTTTCAAAATACATAATGATAAATTATTTTTAATAAATTGTTGGTATGATATTTTTTTTAGGGTAATTTTTACCCATTTTTACGACAATAAATAATAATACAATGGTTGATCTCCTCTTTTAGTTAATCTTTAGATTAATTTAATCTTCATTTGATAACTAAGATAATGCTTAAAATTCAACCAATCAGAGTCTCGCTTGTAGAAACTTAATAGCCAATCAGAAGCGCGTAACCAACCAATGAGAGAACTTTCATTGGTCCGAACCCAGCAGGGATATTCACAAATAGAGGATTAAGTGTCCGCAGGCAGTGAATATAGAGATTAAGGGATCAGGATTAAGATTATCCAACACAAAATTTTCCAGCTGGTGAAATATTATTTGTAAATTTCCTGCAGAATAGTAGTCAAGGATTGTTGGTTTAATTTGTGGAAAAATCTCTTAAAAGGCGAACAAAACAAAACAAAAAATTCAGAAAAATAGTTTTTCTTTTTCTGATTTTTTTTTGTTTTTTTTTTGTTTGACATTTTATTTTTTACAATTTTAAATCTAGAAAATTAGCACATTTTGACCGAGATCAGGACATTTTTGCCATTTATGAATATTATTTCGCATGAACTGCTTTCATTGACACACATTTTGACGGTGATTTTTGTATCAATGTGTTTGTTTAGGATTTCCTTAGTGTAGCAGTTAGCCAACCCTGGACTAGGTCTATATCCAACAACGGAGTACCCTACTATATCAAGTATGTAAACACAGATGGTCAAATTCATTTTACCTTGAGGAGGGGNTCTGTCCTGGATCAAAAATAATTAAAATTTTAAAAAATTTTAAAAATTTTTTAATTCTTGAAAAAAACTTTTTTTTTTAAAAATTAACAGATATTTTCTGGAGTATATTTTTATGAAAGGAGTTATTTCCAGATATCAGAATTATTCCTTTACAATTCTAATTTATGAATAATTAATTTCAGTCATCAGTCTGAAACAACACACTGGGACCATCCTGAAATGGTGAATCTTTTCAAATCGCTTATACAGTTCAACACAATAAGGTAAACTAAACAAAAAAGAAAATTACAATTTTAAATAAGAAATAAAAAAATTTAATGCTTGAAAATAATGACTGGGTTTTAGCCAGTTAATATTTAGTTAAAAACCAAACGTGATTAACATGATTTGTAACATTTTATTTCTTTGATCAGAAGTTAAGAAAATTACCTGATTTTTAAGAGAAAATTTTAAAAATCAAATCTATCCCTAATTATTGACTGGGTTTTCATTTAAATAAAAAAAAACGTGTATAACGTCAAATAAAAGTCTAAATGCATAAACTTTGCATTGAATTTGATTATAAACATAAACTTTAAATCTTTTGTCCAAGTGCATGATTTGTAACATTTTATTTCTTTATTGTGGAGTATCTTTAATCTTAAACGATTGATTTCGATATCCAATGTGGGCACTTTTAAATTAGAAGATGATTGCTTGGTCCCGAGATTTAAATTAAAAATGTCTGACTTCAACTGTCCTTGCGTTATATTAAATTAAATTAAAGGAAAACTTTATTTTCTTCCTAAATGAGATATTGCTAGAGTATTCACCGGAAATTCCGATTCCGTTACCGCCGGAAATTTTGTATTTTTTTTCCCGGCGGAAAAGTATGCCGGAAACCCCGTTGCCGGCGGAAATACTTCAGTATGAGTAAACAATCTATTTAATCAGCAATATATTATTTCTTTGGATATTAGGTCTGAACCTTTTTCGGAATTTTCGGATTCCGGCGGAAATTTCCGTGACGGAAAATCTTTTTCGGTATATATAATTCTAACCTGAAAAAATTCCAGCGAGAAATTGGAAACTCTAGATATTGCCTAAAATACATGTATCTACTTATTTTAGATTTTCTGCTTACTGTACCTCTAGATATTGCATAAAGTATATGTATCTACTTATTTTAGATTTTCTGCTTTCCGTACCTCTAGATATTGCATAAAATACATGTATCTACTTATTTTAGATTTTCTGCTTACCGTACCTCTAGATATTGCATAAAGTATATGTATCTACTTATTTTAGATTTTCTGCTTACCGTACCTCTATGAAGCTTAGGGAACTTCAGAAAAGATTGGCTTGTAAGTTTAAAACTTAATAGACTTTATGGACTGTGCAGTAAAGCAAAATGGAAAAAATGGCCGCAAACTCAAATGTATTAATCCATTTATCTTTGAAATCCGATGTCGTAGACCTTAGATATTTCAAGTTTGAAATCTGGAAGGTTGTCATCAGGTTTCAAAGACAGGAATTAGAAAATTGGATTTTGTGGCAAAGACTCATTTCCTTTGTGATGATAAATTCATATACTATGGTTTTCGTTGATATATTAAGCATGGATTTACTACGTTTCACTGACAGGCTCTGTTTAAAAATGTGGAATTGAGTGATGATTTTTATATTATCTTTGAAGAACAAAATAACTGAGTATTTACCATCTACTCAATAAGTTTATAATCCCTATATCTTAACAACCGGAGGGTTTAAACCTGTTGTTTTTTAAACCTTGACTATTTGATTCATCAGCTAATGCATAGTTTGAAATATCAAAGGTCTACAACATCGGGTGGCAAAGATATGAGGATTTAAAATCAGATTTTGTGGCAAAAACTCAATTCCTTTAAAACATTCAGTTGAAACAAAAATCAATGGAAACTCTTGGTATTGGGATTAAAAAATGTTGGTCGCCATTTCAATATTTCCAAAGATTAAAAGAAATTTGGCCAGAATTTCAATTTATGGATCAAAGTTGTCTAGATTTTTTCGTCCTTCTTAAAACACGAAACCGACAACGATGTGAGCGCTCTTTTCTTTAAATTTACAAGGGAAAAAAAAGAAAAAAGAGTTATAACGATCAAACCCGAATTTCGGAATGGTCGTTGACTAAATTTAATATTTTACGATAACTCACTTTTACAGAAAAAAAAACTTCATTTTAAACCCTGCTACTAATTATTTTCTTTAAAGGGACTGTTCACGAAAAATGAATTAGGGTAAAGGGTATAGGCTTAATGCGATAAAAAAGTGCTTTTGATCGCTACTAATCTTACTTCTATCTGTTGCGTCTATAAGGAGAAAATTGTTAAAGACGTCTCATACCGAATAACTTAGCGTCCATACTCCATACAGATTGAGAAAATTGAAACATACGACTTAGACCGTAAAAAATCGATTTAATTTCAAACAAATCATTCAGATATTACAACCTATAGTCACCGATTATCTTTCACCACATTTGTATAAAGTTTATATTTTATAATTTTTTTGATTTCGTTTTTTTAAAGATATTTCTCTGGCGCTGGATTTTCGAATATTCCTGGAAAATATGAAAATGTCGTCTTCATTATTAAAAATCCTCGAAACGGGATCATAAAAAATTGAAAATATGAAATATCAACTAAATACGAATGCGTCGAATAATTATCGATGTTATTGGTTGTAATAACTGAATGATTTGTTTGGAATTAAATTGATTTTTTTACAATCCGAGTTATATGTTGCAACTTTGCATTTGTATTGACGTTACGTTCTTCGGTATAAGTCGGTTTTAACAATTTGCTTCTTATAGACGCAACAGATAGAAGTAAGATTAGTATTGATCAAAAGCGCTTTTTTATCGCAATAAGCCTATACCCCCTTTCATTTTTCGCGAACACTCCCTTTAAGAGAAGAATAAAAAAATATTATTTGACTCTATATATACATTATAAAAATATATATATATATATATATATATATATATATATATAAACCGATATATATACATACCGAGAAAAATAATAGAATCCGTAGTAAATTCTTCACATTTTCTTTCTTTACCACACATATTATAGGGAAAGTATATTTTCAGTTTTCAATTAATCAACTCAGACCCTTCTTGTGTTCAATGTTCAATATATATATCATACATTATATTTGTGCAATGAATATAAATGGCTGAATATCATGTATATGTACAAATTTCTTAGTATAACACAACACCTTCTGTTTTTCATTATTTGCCCAGAACACCAAGAGAATATATAGGATATGGCAAAGTATTATCAAGCAAACATTATTGTTTTTACTCAGCAAAGAGGGGAGAAGGGGTTTTCACAATACAATAAAGTTGTTTTTTGAAAATTTGTACTGGACATATTTAAAAATTTAGCAAAAATATTATTATTATTGTTATTATAATTACTATTATTATTATCATTATATTATCATTATTTGTTGTTCAGTGGACCTACTCCCCTTGAATGTGGCAATAGAAGCGTTTGATGCTCATGGATTACGTGGTCAGAATGATAGAACTTTAGGAACATATTAATTCTGTTTCATATCTCTAATCTCTAATCTCTAATCTCTAATATCTAACAGGAGAAGGGGGGGGGGGGTAAAGTAAATTTGTTATTGCCTCAAACAAAGATGTTCTAAGTCCTATATTTTTGTTACCTGATGGTGTAAACCCTTGATATTCCAAACTTAGATTATTTAATCTGACAGAAATCATAGATTAAAATATCAAAGGTCTAAGACATAGGATTTATAAGAAATAAAACACCTTCCCTTCCGTCCCCGCCATTTTCTACTTTCCCTCCAGCTAGGGGGGAGGGGGGGTCATTCAATACCATACAGTATGATTGAGGTTATGAGGTGCGTGCTGTATACTGTACTAGGGTCACAAAAAAGAAAACTGTTAAAAAAAAATCTACCAACTTACACTTTTTTAATTTGACTTTTTAAATGAGTACTTACTGTTAAAGACTTAAAACTGAAAATTGAATTCCCCCTGTTTCCCCCCTATATGTTAATGACTATTGGACACCCGGTAGAATATTTCCAATATGTATGCGTAGAATTGATATGAATATATGTATAGATGTATCAGATATGGTCTCAATTCTCGCCACATTCTACGAAACTATATCGGTAAGTCACCAAAATGTCATCACACGGTAGACTAAGCCAGTGGGGTCGGTCAAAAAGACCTAGGATTAGGCCGGGTACTGCAAAACGTCTGAACGCGCCATGGGAGTCATAGTTTGCCCTCCGACGGGACTTCACTATGCCAAGAAAATTGACCCCTGTCGCGTGTTAGTCTGGTTAGGGTGACGTACTGTACCATAGGATCGGATCAGTACACGCTGTTATCTGGCAGGCCGGTACAAACTGGGCAGGTCCTGTTCGAATTCAAATTTGCTACGGCCCAGAGTGGGCCTGAAGACCAATATTATTTATAAAATGGTGTCATAGACTTAAACCCTTGATCTTGATATATCAACTGAGAGAACAATTTGAAAGATCATTGCTTGATCCCTTGATTCATGTAGGCTAAGATTACCACGGGATATCAGTAAAAAATCTGCTTTAATCCGCATAGGTATGCATTAATTCAATGCTTATATATCTAAACCATAAGCTCCAAAATATATATATAAACCATTTATGGCTCCAAACAATATGTATCTTAACCATATGGCTCCAAAATATATATCTAAACCATTTATGGCTCCAAACAATATATATCTTAACCTTATGGCTCCAAAATATATATCTAAACCATTTATGGCTCCAAAATATATATCTAAACCATTTAAGGCTTTAAAATATATATCTAAACCATTTATGGTTCCAAAATATATATCTAAACCATTTATGGCTCCAAAATATATATCTTAACCATTAATGGCTCCAAAATATATCTCTAAACCATTTATGGCTCCAGAATATATATCTAAACCATTTATGGCTCCAAAATATTTATCTAAACCATTTATGGCTCAAAAATATATATCTAAACCATTTATTGCTCCAAAATGGCAGAAGCAAATTGAGTTGTTTAGCATAAATTATTAGACAACAAAAGCTTTATGCAAAATTGTTTCAAAATTTAGCAAAACTATAATTTTAGCAATCTACTTAAAAAACGTGTTTAATGCAACCCAAGGCACTTAAAAAATATTTTTAGTTTTTAATAAGTTAAATTGAAAAAGTTGAAAAAGTAAGAAAGTAGGAGAAATTTAGTTTAATTTTAAACATTACTAATGAAAAGTTAGCAAAAGTTAATTTGTTTCATTTGTCTTCATTATCTGCTAAATAGAGCATTGACTTTAAACAGGAAAATTTAGATTTAACCAAATGTTAGATATTTAGAACACTAAAGAAATGGAATCTTTGTCAAAAACTATTATTTTCTAATCCATATATCTTTGCAACCTCGTAGGCTTTAGATATTTTAAAATATGAATTCTGTTGGATTAAATAATCTTAGTGTAAAGTATCAAATTGCGAAGATAAAGGGATTAGAAAATTTTGTGGCAAAGATTTTATTTTCTGAAAATTTGGATTAATAGAAAATATAATGATTAACTGTATTAGCCGGATTATTTGGAGCATTGAAAATATGAAAATTATTCTTGCATTAAGGTCTTAGTAATAATATTTTTTCAAAAATGTCGAAATAATTATTGATTTTGAAATTAATCAAAATGGAGCAAAATGATTTTTAAATGTTTTAAACATTTTAAACAAACTTTCGAAAAATAATATCGAATAATCTTCTAAAAACTGTATAACTTTAATGATTTATTTCTTGAGTCTGTTTGAGCGTTGTTTGTAACTATTAAGGCTGGGAACCCAACAACTGTAAACGTACCTCTATGCCTGGATCTCACCTTAAATTGGCTCTTAAACCTGTATGACTGGTAAGCAGACCTTTAGTTAAATTTTCATAATTTTCTAACTTTATTCTAAAATTCATTGACAAAGGATTTGAGTCTTTGAAACAAACTCAAATGTTCTAAGCCCTATGTCTTTGCAACCTGATTGTGGAAACCTTTGATACTGTTTTCTAACAGAATACATAGTTTAAAATAACTTTGGGTTGCAAAGATATAGAGTATAGAAAATAAAAGTGTTTGGCAAAGACTCAATTCCTTTATTAAAGAGTAAAAATCATTATGACCTGGGTCTAATGAACTTACAGCCATACTAGATTTTTACATTTATAATACCTTTCTTTATTTAAAATTAAATTTTTTGAAATAATTTCATTTCTGTTTAGTCAAAGATGTGGACAGGTTCGAGTTCTAGCATTTAAAGTTGCTCTGACTATACTCTGTAAAGGACCTCTAGAGGAGAAGTATAGATGTAAGAACTTAAACAAAATAATTAACATTTTTCTGCACGTTTTCAATGTTACTTCCAATACACATCACAAAAAAAGTGCCCGGATTTCAGCTAAGGAATTGATTCTTTGCCACAAACTCTGATTTTCTAATCCCTATATATTTAAAACCAAATGTCGTAGACCTTATATATTTCAAACTAGGAATTCTGTTGGATCAAAGAATTTAAGTTTGAAATATAGAAAGTTTACACCATAAGGTTGCAAAGATATAGGAATTAGAACTGTTGAGTATGTTGCAAAGACTCAATTCCTTTTTGCCTAGATCAATTAGAATCACAAGAATTTACTATTCAAATTTTTTTTTAACACTTAATATCATTAAGATATGTTCCGGCTGGTGTCTGACCAGCAGCGAAGGTCAAGTCAGAAGAAACTAGCTCAGCTACTTAGTGACTGTATCCAGGTATATATTCTTACTAGCTTTACTAGCTTGGGGACCCAGCGTGGCCCATGGGAGTCATAGTTAGTCCCGCTGTTTACCCGTCTCATGGCGTAAATTACGATTTGGCCCTTTTCCCGTTAAAAGTAAACCCACTGAAGTTAACATCTCAAAACCAAGCTAAGAATACTTCCGTAGATCTCCCGAGTTCCCCAATCAAAATTCAAGGCAAATCGGGGTTCCTGAGTTATGATCGGACAAACAAACAAACAGAGATTACAACATTATAGAGTGTAGTTACTCTCTATAGTGATTACAAAATAAAAAAATCGTTTATTTAGCCAAATAACTGACAACATATCGCTTATATTCATAAAACATTGATTACTTGGTAGCAAAAAGTTGGATGACTGGCAAAGAAGCGATTTTTTGTTAAATATAATCGTTTTTTTGTTAAATACAATCGATTTTTTGTAAAATAAAGTCAATCGATATGACTGGCAAAGAAGCGATTTTTTGTTAAATATAATCGATTTTTTGTTAAATATAATCGATTTTTTGTAAAATATAGTCGATATTTTGTTAAATATAATCAATTTTTTGTAAAATATAATCGATTTTTTGATTTTGTAATTTAGAGTGTAAAGTGTACACCTTTTCGATCTCCGGCAAAAATAATCTATTTATAAAAGTAAATTGTTCAATTTGTGAATAAACATCCCAAGGAATTGAGTCATTCCCACAAACTCATATCGTCTATATCTTTGCAACCTGGTGGTGTAAACTTTTTTACTTCAAACTTAGACTATTTAAAATGACATAACTCATAATTTGAAATATCTAAAGTCTGCGACATTTGGTTGCAAGCATAAAATGATTAGAGTTTGTGGCAAAGGCTAAAATTTTATGTAAGTTGTCATAACAGAAAAAAAATTGTAAACATTTTTAAAATAAAAATCAAAAATGTTTTTGTTTGTTTCAGGTGCCTCGAGTTCTTGGAGAAATTTCAGGAATTTGCGATTTATTTGAAAATTTAATGCCTGCTGCATAATCTAAGTTTTCATGTTTAATGAGATCAAGTTTAAGTGACTTTTTAATAACGTCATCTTAAGTAACCCTTTATGCAAAGATGACAATGTTCGATTCACAACGGTACCCTTGAAATATTTTTCTGATCGGATTTAATATCTTATTCATACTTCATCATGGTACCATTGTGAATCGGGCATTCTCATCTTTTCATGTTGGATCATTTGAAATTACGCTTACATGCCTTTAATCCACTCAATACGTAGTTTTCTAACATATTAGAGTAAATGATAAAGAAAAATGGCAACATTAAATATGAGAAACATTTCAAACATCAAAGATGATGTATGTCGTTCAAAAATTTGCATCCTGCTTTGAACTAAATATATATATATATATATAAATAAATGTTTATAGGATCCATTGGAATAACGTAGGATTCAAACACAAATATATTTTGGATTTTAAACTATTAGAAATCATCAGTTGGAAACTTTATATCTAAAGGGGTAAAAGTATAAAACTATTTGAATATATAATACAAAGATTTTGTATTCAAGGAACGTCATGGAGGCAAAGTTTGAAAAATTTGCATTTTTAATTTGAAAATTAGGCCCAAGTCTCAACATAAACTTTAGCTAGTATCTTTGTAAAAATATTATTTTACTAAATAAAAATCGAGCTTTATCATGCACTACCTTGGAAACCCAGCTTTGCCTAGAAACTGAACTTTCTCTGAAAAAAACACTCAGTTTAGAATGTAAGCTAAGAACATTTCTGTGGTTCTATCGAGTTCCCCAATCAAAACTTTAGGCAAATCGGTCCAAGGGGTTCAGGAGTAATGATCGGAGATTAGTATCACTTAGATTCAGCTTATTAAAAGGTCAATTTTGAAGCGTCGCAACGCCTTGGGCTTTGATTTTACCACTCTAACTCATTTATGCTTTACTGTAGCCCTTGTTCTTAGCTTTGGATTCTTAAAAGTAATTGGCAAAATTCTCATCGAGTCTAGCTTGAGAGCTTGGGACCTTTAAATCACAGTGTACTTTATATATTGTTTGATTGATTGACCCAAAAACCGTAAAAAATGTTGTTAAAAATTGCCGATAAATATTAATTTTTTTATAACCTTGGAGTGGTCTGTGTACACTCGGGGAAACAAAGCAAAGAAATTAGATTTAATTGCAAAACATTCTCAGCATTTGGAGGCGTAAACGTGGAGCCCTCTGTACGCTCCTGTTTCGAACAGGCTGGGGATAAAGGGTTTATAGAGGTAACATACTTTTAAATACTTGTTTAATGTAAACAAACATCTGAGCTATTAATATATATTAAACTAATCTAAGGTTCGTTGAAAGGAACTGAGTTGCTGCTGCAAACTCAAATTTTCTAATCCCTATGTCTGATGGTGTAAACCTTTGAAATTTTGATCTAACAGAATTTATAGTTTGAAATATCAAAGAACTACGTCATAGGGATCAAAATTTTGAGTTTGTGGCAAAAACTCGTTTTATTTGCATTCAAAGAATGTATCGAAAAATGAATATTTCGGATAAAATGGTTGGAAGGAAATAACAAAATTCATGGATGAAGGTAAACTTTCTGAGGAAAATTATTAAAATTTAATTTGAAAAAATTTAAAATGTAAAAAGACAAGATTTTGAGGTAAATGTTAACAAAATTGAGGTTCTTTTATAAAAAAATTGGGACATTATTTCCTCAGTTCTATCTATTTTCAATGAGGCAGACTTAAAAACATTAGCTTTCTGTAAGAATGGTATGTTTGGATCAAGACAAGGTTGTAACTACACAATGGTATTTAGCAGAGAACTCTCCTGGGACTTAGTTTATCCACACTTTGGAATTGACCAGGCTCATTCACAGTAGTTCTTTACTAGATATACACAGATAGAAGTAGATAATAGGAGAATACACACATACAAGTAGATAATAGGAGAATACACACATGCACGTAGATCATGGGAGAAATACACAGATAGAAGTGGATAATAGGAGAATACACACATACAAGATAATGGGAGAAATACACAGATAGAAGTAGATAATAGGAGAATACACACATACAAGTAGATAATGGGAGAAATACACAGATAGAAGTGGATAATAGGAGAATACACACATACAAGTAAAAAAATGGGAGAAATACACAGATAGAAAAGATAATAGGAGAATACACACATACAAGTAGATAATGGGAGAAATACACAGATAGAAGTAGATAATAGGAGAATACACAAATACAAGTAGATAATGGGAGAAATACACACATTCAAGTAGATCATGGGAGAATTAAACACATACAAGTATAGATAATGGGAGAAATACACAAATAGAAGTAGATCATGGGAGAAATACACACATACAAGTAGATAATGAAATACACACATTCAAGTAGATCATGGGAGAATTAAACACATACAAGTATAGATAATGGGAGAAATACACAAATAGAAGTAGATCATGGGAGAAATACACACATACAAGTAGATAATAGGAGAAATACACACATAGAAGTAGATCATAGGAGAAATAAACAAATACAAGTAGATAATGGGAGAAATACACAAATAGAAGTAGATCATAGGAGAAATACACACATACAAGCAGATAATGGGAGAAATACACACATAGAAGCAGATCATGGGAGAAATACACACATACAAGTAGATAATAGGAGAAATACACACATATAAGTAGATAATGAGAGAAATACACAGCAAGATAGAATTAGATAATGGGAGGAATATACAGATAGAAATAGACATTGGGAGAAATATACAGATAGATATAATTAGAAATGTGAGAAATATACAGATAGAAGTAGATTATGGGAGAAATACACAGCTAGAAATTGATAATGGGAGAAATACACAGATAGAAATAGATAATTGATTAAAATACACAAATAGAATTAGATAATTGATTAAAATACACAAATATAAAAGTTCGCTGCTATGTAAATGCAAAGATGATAGGGAAATAATTTAGAATTCTGAATAAAATTATTAAAAATTGGAAAATCAGAGAATATCGGAGATCGATGATTTATTTTTGAATATAGAAGAGATAATTTGATAATTATATTTCTGAAGCGGAAGGAGATTGACAGAAAAAAATGTAAAAAATAATGTATTCTTGTAAAAAAAAAGTTATTTATCACCCAGCCTTCCTTTGAATTAAGGCTGAAAAAAGAATTTAAATCAGTTTTCTTAAATGATTTCAATTTATCTTAACTTACTTATACATAAACATATCGACCGTACTCTGATGCAAACACAAAAAAAAATAGATAAAGATAGAAATATGAATCGATAAAGAAACAAAAATAAACAATAGAAATAGACAAAAACGCAAACATATACCTGAACACAAACACAGAAAAAAAAACATAAACATACATCTAAACCACCAAAACACATACAAAAAATCTTAAAGAATATATCCAAACAAAACACAAATTAGGGGAGAGAAACAGTTCTAGACAGATAAGGAAAGCTGATTAGGAAGAGAGAAAATTCTTAACTCTTGAAAACATATTCAATAATATTTTGTAAGATATATCTTAACGTAACGTCTCTATATGCAGTGCAGAATGTCCAGGTTTAAAGTTTAGGTCCCTGGTTTAAAGTGTAGGTCCCTGGTCTATCCCAGGTTTAAAGTTTAGGTCCCTGGTCTATCCCAGGTTTAAAGTTTAGGTCCCTGGTCTATCCCTGGTTTAAAGTTTAGGTCCCTGGTCTATCACTGGTTTAAAGTTTAGGTCCCTGGTCTATCCCTGGTATAAAGTTTAGGTCCCTGGTCCATCCCAGGTTTAAAGTTTAGATCCCTGGTTTATCCCAGATTTATAGTTTAGGTCCCTGGTCTATACCAGGTTTAAAGTTTAGGTCCCTTGTATATCCCTGGTTTAAAGTTTAGGTCCCTGGTATATCCTAGGTTTATAGTTTAGGTCCCTGGTCTATTCCTGGTTTAAAGTTTAGGTCCCTGGTCTATCCCTGGTTTAAAGTTTAGGTCCCTGGTCTATCCCTGGTTTAAAGTTTAGGTCCCTGGTCTATCCTTGGTTTAAAGTTTAGGTCCCTGGTCTATCCTAGGTTTAAAGTTTAGGTCCCTGGTCTATCCCTGGTATAAAGTTTAGGTCCCTGGTATTTACCAGGTTTATAGTTTAGGTCCCTGGTCTATCCCAGGTTTAAAGTTTAGGTCCCTGGTCTATCCCTGGTATAAAGTTTAGGTCCCTGGTCTATCCCTGGTATAAAGTTTAGGTCCCTGGTCTATCTCTGGTATAAAGTTTAGGTCCATGGTCTATCCCTGGTATTAAGTTTAGGTCCCTGGTCTATCCCAGGTTTAAAGTTTAGGTCCCTGGTCTATCCCAGGTTTAAAGTTTAGGTCCCTGGTCTATTCCTGGTATAAAGTTTAGGTCCCTGGTCTATCCCTGGTTTAAAGTTTAGGTCCCTGCTCTATCCCAGGTATAAAGTTTAGGTCCCTGGTCTATCCCTGGTATAAAGTTTAGGTCCCTGGTCTATCCCTGGTATAAAGTGTAGGTCCCTGGTCTATCCCAGGTTTAAAGTTTAGGTCCCTGGTCTATCCCAGGTATAAAGTTTAGGTCCCTGGTCTATCCCTAGTTTAAAGTTTAGGTCCCTGGTCTATCCCTGGTATAAAGTTTGTGTCCCTGGTCTATCCCTGGTTTAAAGTTTATGTCCCTGGTCTATCCCTGGTATAAAGTTTATGTCCCTGGTCTATCCCTGGTTTAAAGTTTAGGTCCCTGGTCTATCCCTGGTATAAAGTTTAGGTCCCTGGTCTATCCCTGGTATAAAGTTTAGGTCCCTGGTCTATCCCTGGTATAAAGTTTAGGTCCCTGGTATATCCCAGGTATAAAGTTTAGGTCCCTGGTATATCCCTGGTTTAAAGTTTAGGTCCTTGGTCTATCCCTGGTATAAATTTTAGGTCCCTGGTATATCCCTGGTATAAAGTTTAGGTCCCTGGTCTATCCCAGGTTTAAAGTATAGGTCCCTGGTATATCCCTGGTTTAAAGTTTAGGTCCCTGGTCTATCCCTGGTATAAAGTTTAGGTCCCTGGTCTATCCCTGGTATAAAGTTTAAGTCCCTGGTCTATCCCAGGTTTAAAGTTTATGTCCCTGGTCTATCCCTAGTTTAAAGTTTATGTCCCTGGTCTATCCCTGGTATAAAGTTTAAGTTTTCAAGAAGAATGAAGACAACTCAATTATCTATATCCAATACAGAGCTGGGTGGGAGACCTAACATCAAACCCTGCTCTGACATCAGTCAATATCATAATAATTTCAGAATATATTTAACCAATGAATATGAAGGAATATGAATAGAAAATTTACATAATTTTGTATTCTTTGAATTTGAAACTGCAGACATTGTGTTGCATTTTTTAGATATTGGATTTTTGAAGTCCAATTACTTTGACTTAAGTTTTTGTTTCTCAATGAACAGTTATAAAAATTAGTCAGTACTGGGCGATAAAATGAAAACCATAATTGTTGACATTTAGATTTCCATATATCTAGCTTTGTTGCTTAAAAAAGCGATTTTTTGTGTAAGCTAAACTAGCTTTGTTTTCTTGTGCAATTCGCAATTTTAAACATGTGATATGAGGAAAAAATATTTATGTAAATAAACCATGTCTGTCGTTTTAATCAAAATTTTAACGTTTTATATTTTCCTACTTGTGAATTTAGAACACAGTAAATTTAACATATTTGAATAATTTCACCAAAATAGCTAAACACTCAGACTTTTATGATCTTCACAATATATACAAAATATTAAATTTCAACAACAAAATATATATTTGATGTTATGCTTAAAATAGAATACGTAAACATCTTCTCAAAAAATCCCCCCCCCCCCCCCCCCCTCATGATCCAAAATCTATATAATTTAACTCAAAAATCTATCAGCATAAAAAGGGCTGCAAAAAAGTATAATTAATCAATAATGTGATATCAAATGCCAAGGGGTTAGAACACATCAAAGGCCCCGGGTCTAGAAAATTGATGCATCTTTTTGAAAGCTTTCTGGATCTCTGTGCCCCTCAAAGAAGTACATTCCGTCAAAAATAGCTTAACTTACTAAAATTACAAAAAGTTTTCATTTAACAGATCAAAATGGGTTCCAAGGTTAAGGCTCACTGAACATGTATTTTCAGCAGGATCCCTCATTTACACCCCCCCCCCCCTTTATTCCTTCACTTCGCTATACATATATGTATATATGATCCATTAGTAAAGTAGGTGTAGTGTAGATTAATGTATTTACTAGGTTATTTAATTAATAAAAGTAATCGCCACCTGGTTCTTATACACTGTACACTGTACACCGCCTCCAACTGCCTCCAATATTCTGAAAATGGTTTTTTCCATTACATTACGATTGAGAAAATGCATTTATAAAATCCTAATCGATAATGATCAATTGGTAATATAAATCGCGCGATCGCTCAAAATGAAAGATATTTTTCTTTTCTTCAGTCATTGCATTTCTTAAACTGGATGAAACAAGAGCCTCAGAGTATGGTTTGGCTTCCGGTTTTGCACAGGTGATATGTTTATTAAAAAGACAGCGTTATTTCAAGTGACCCTCCATGCAAAGATAGGAAAGCCCAAATTACAATTACTGAAATTCTATTCAGATAAATAATGTGGAAGAAAACGTCGCGTTATTTAACTAGAAAAGTCTTTATTTCTGTGAAATTCTTCATTGTTTTATAAAAGCAAGATATGTGCAATTCACTTTTGCAATGAAACTACAAATAATAATAAACAGTTTAAATAAATAAACAAATGCATTTTTAATTCATATTTCATATCTCAAATAGGTTTACTTATATCTAGGTTTATTTTAATCTAGTTTTCTATCTAGGTTTACTGTAATCTAGGTCTCTATCTAGGTTTACTTCAATTTAGTTTTCTAACTAGGTTTACTTATATTTAGGTATTTTAATCTAGTTTTCTATCTAGGTTTACTGCAATCTATGGTCTCTATCTTCAATTTAGTTTTCTAACTAGGTTTACTTATATTTAGGCTTATTTTAATCTAGTTTTCTATCTAGGTTTACTGCAATCTAGGTCTCTATCTAGGTTTACTTGTATTTAGTTTTCTAACTAGGTTTACTTATATTTAGGTTTATTTTGATCTATTTTTCTATCTAGGTTTACTTTAATTAGTTTTCTTTCAAGGTTTACTTCAGTCTAGTTTTCTGTCTAGGTTTACTTCTATATAGGTTTGTTTTAATCTAGTTTTCTATCTAAGTTTACTTCAGTCTAGTTTTCTGTCTAGGTTTACTTCTATATAGGTTTGTTTTAATCTAGTTTTCTATCTAGGTTTACTTCAGTCTAGTTTTCTGTCTAGGTTTACTTCTAATAAGTTTGTTTTAATCTAGTTTTCTATCTAGGTTTACTTCAGTCTAGTTTTCTGTCTAGGTTTACTTCTATATAGGTTTGTTTTAATCTAGTTTTCTATCTAGGTTTACTTCAGTCTTGGTCTCTATCTAGGTTTACTTCAATTTAGTTTTCTAACTAGGTTTACTTATATTTAGGTTTATTTTAATCTAGTTTTCTATCTAGATTTACTTTAACTAGTTTTCTTTCAAGGTTTACTTAAGTCTAGTTTTCTGTCTAGGTTTACTTCTATCAAGGTTTACTTTAATCTAGTTTTCTATCCAAAGGTTGACTTCTATCTAGGTTTACTTTAATCTAGTTTTCTATCTAGGTTTACATCTATCTAGGTTTACTTTTATCTAGTTTTCTATCTAGGTTTACCTTCATCTAGTTTTCTATCCAAAGGTTTACCGCTGCTGAGTGTGCGAAGCATCAAGCTAAATGTAATATCTGCAAGCAAAGTCCTATTCTTGGATTTAGGTAAAATTTTACTTTAAACAGACTGATCCGCAATTTAAACACTGAGAAATCATTTCTTTTTAACACGTTGAACGCATACAGTTTATGGATCCAACTGGACTTCACTGGCAATGGTAATTCGTTTTTGTTTAGTTTTCTGTAGGGCTGGCCAAAGTTCCGTTAACGGAACGGAGATTTTCGAAAATTAACCGAACAGTTAACAAAATTAACGATTGAAAACGCAAACGGAACAGATTTTTATTTTTAACGATGATTTTTTTTCTGCTTTAAATAACATTAAACGTTAAAAAAAAAAAAAAAAAATTACGTGTTTTGATGTTTTTAAATGTCATCTTCTGTGTTCACAACTTTAAATGCTGAGAAAAGATCGCAGTACCGTTGAATTTTGATTTGAAAAATTTGGAGTTTGTCCAGCCATGAAAGAATCTGGGATCTCCTCAGAATAGAATAAATATTGTTGATTTGGATATCTAGATATTACTCAGTCCGCAGAAAATGATAAATATAGTTCAACTGATAGTGTCGTTAACGATTTGGCAAATTGTTAAAGCTGTTAATGCTACTGCAAACAACTGCACCTTTAACGATTTCATAACCCTTAACAATATTCTTTTCAGCGCTTTGCGCCTTAATACTGAAATAAACCGTTGACAACTGCGCCGTTAACGATTTCATAACCGTTAACGATTTTTTTGTGTTTCGCGCCATTAATACTGAAATAGACCTTTTATGACTGCGCTGTAAGCTTTTTTCTTAAACCGCTAATGACTGTAGCAGTTAACGATTGCTAAAAATGTTCCGTTAACCTTGTTAATAAAATTAAGATTGTTAAGTAACGGTTTTTTTTTTAAAAACGGTAAATGCCATTAACGAGACGAACGTTCCGTTTTTACCTTTAGAATTAAAAGCTACCTGAAATATTCTTTTTTTAACGGTCGGAACTAATAGTTAACGAAATGGCTAGAAAAAGTAGAAACGTGCCCAACCCTAGTTTTCCGATACATTTATATTCCAAAAAAATTGTGCACAAACCGTTCTCCTCTTAGAAAAAATATAAGGTCAGAATTTTAGTTAATTCAGAGCCAGCTGTACAGTACACATACAGACTAAAAAAAGCAAACGTGACAGTATTTGATTAATTAACCATCCCTTTCTAGTGAAATTAATGTTATGAGATGAGAATAGATAAAAGAAAAATTATTTTTGCGTTCAAATTTTGATCTTGTGCTTGAAAAATGTAAATTTTGCTGTTTGTTATTAAAGTGAAGGAATTGCTAAATATTAAATATTAAAGGTATCGGTGTCTGAAATGCTTCAACTTTGATATGTGCCAAGCTTGCTTCTTCGCTGGGAAAGGGGGTCGGTACAAAAACCATAAGATGACCCATCCCATGCAGGAGTACTGTACAACGGTAATATTTTCATTGCATATTTTCTTGAATATTTTTAATAAATATCTTACAGCGCAAAAATATGTTTTTTGTTTCACTGAATTGTGGAACTTAAAAGATGATATTTAATAAATAGCATATTATTATTATTCTATATATTACATATTATTATTATTCTATATATTACATATTATTATTATAAGTCTAAACTAATCGGACTTTAGACTTCGCTTACAATCTCTTTAAACAATTTCATTTATTTTCTTCTTCAATTTTCTAATTTGTCATTTTTGAATAGTTTTCTCTCTACGTCAGATAATGGGTTCCGATAATCTCAATTCTGTTCTGTAGAAAATATGGGAATTGTGTCGTGGCTAAAAACTGTAAATTTTGTATGAAAGAAAAATAGATTTATGAAAAATGTTCAATAGAAATCGTTGCATTCACTTCCCCCACAACACAGAACGAAGTTAAGTTTTATAAATGACCCTGTTGCCACATAAACAATTTGTACAATATTGCACAAACTTCTACAAAAAACTTCAAAATCAAATTCGAGCATATGATAGTCAAAAAGTATTTTCTATTTTGAATATTATACACAAGTATTTTCTATTTTTAATATTATACACAAGTATTTTCTATTTTTAATATTACACACAAGTATTTTCTATTTTAAATATTATACACAAGTATTTTCTATTTTTAATATTATACACAAGTATTTTCTATTTTGAATATTATACACAAGTATTTTCTATTTTTAATATTATGCACAAGTATTTTCTATTTTGACTCTGGAATTTTCTTTATAAATATTTAGTTAAAACACAACAAAAAAAATGTTGTTGCTTTGAATTTAATAATTTCTAAAACGTTCAAGAATTACGTGCGTACTTTTCTTACATAATTAGTTTAACGTTTTAAAGTTTTTATTGCAAACTATTTGGAGTTTCCGGAGCGTTGTCCAGGATAAAAATATAAATCTTGTTGCCTACACCATCAACCCCGTTTTAAACATGGGTTACCTCAGTCCTCAGCTAATTTAGTCCAGCTGTCGGGCAACCTCAAGCTAACATATTATATATGATTTTTTTGGTCATACAAATATATATATATGAAGGTAGAGCTTTATTAAATAGATTATCATTGGCTTGACAACAGTGTTGGCTCGGTAAAGATTATTTTTAAAGGTTTACGCTCTGCTCTGTGGTAGTAAATGGTAGGAATAGGGATTGGATAACAGTATGGGAGGGGAAGGGGGTGGGGAAACACGGAGAAAGCTGTGGGGGG